AAAAAAATCAATAATATATAATTAAGACTTTCTCATCCTACTTTCTGTTCTTTTTATTTTTACCAAATTTTTAGTAATTTTGTTGTCACGTTTTTTTTTTTTTTTTAATTAAAAAAAATATATAAATTTCGAAAATATTATTGACAATTTATTCCAGAATTACAAACTTACGGATTTGAATATATCTCTCAATTCATTTCATACATTCTCATATATATTTTTTCGAAAAAATCTTGGAAGTATGAGTTATAAACCTGACATCTATTCACCGAGATTTAAAATTACTTCAACGGAATTTTCAATATTTTTGTGACATGAAAACCATTTTTAAAGTGTTTTGAGGAAGACAAATAAAATTGTTTATATAAAAAAAAGTAAAACTAGAAATATTATACTTTTTCTTCCGAAAACACATATAGGTTTTATACCATGAGCAACTAGTGTAGTTAATAGAGTTTTAATGTAATTTTTGCATTCAGAAATATTTTAAAGTTAGAGACATTACATATTGCTAAATTTACAAAAATTTTGAAATAATTTTTAGCATTTCTGTTTATCTTAATACCACGGAACTTAATTTTTTACCCTACTCCACTATACTACGTTTGAGTATACTAATCGGTTAAGAATCATTTTCTGAATCGATTAAGCCATGTAAGTCTGGCCGTCTGGTAGAGGTTGAAATTTTCAAAACAATAAGCACGTATGCTTTTTGATCCAATGACAAAACCTATTCAAAATGGTTAAAGTCTGTCCTTTATTTTACCTAGCCCCCATACATATACAAATGTATAAAGCCTTTCTCAGAAAATTAGTTTAAATATATCGGAACCAAGGTTCAATTCAACATAAATGCTTTATTACGAAAAATAAATCAAATTTTATACTCATATGGTCAACCACGGCAGATTATACTTTCTTACTTGATATAAATTACAATGAATTTCAGTTACAAATTAATATGAATTGTTCATAAAAACACTTAAAAAATTTTAGCATTTTTTTTGGCATTATAAAGTCAATTTAGCATTTTTTCTAGCATTATTTTGGATGGGATTTAGCCGCAACATTTTTTGAGACCTGGTCACACTGGTTTTAGCCAAGAGTTAACGTATATTCAGTGGTGTAAAAAATTGTCCTCCAGAAATTTCTTAACATGGCATATGTTTTACCGCAATTTGCATTGGTATGATCTGACCAGTTAAGTTTATGATTGAAGATGATTCCAAGATTTTTGGCCTGTTTCATAATTTCAATTATTGAATCTCTAACTAGAATTGGTTGCGTAGAGGTTTACCAATTATAATAGCATTAGATTTTTTTTGCATTGAGACAGAGAGCTGTTGCCCATTCATATACATTATTATTCATGTCTTTCTGAAGGCAGCTTATATATAGCTGCACATCATCTGCATACATGTGTATTTTACAGTGTTTTATATACATAGGAAGATCGGTAGAATATATCGTATACAATAATGGACCCTCTTGTTATAGAACGGTTGATAGAAATACTATGACCATGATAAACTGATTGGGTTCTGTTACATAGGTATGAATATAGTAACTTAACGGCAGTAGATGAAAAGTTGAACATATTTTTCAGCTTATAGCAAACAATATTATCATCAACAAAATCGAAGGCTGTTGAGTGATCAAGCAACACTAAAATAGACATTGTCGATATTAGATCGTAGATCTATGTATGTATGTATGTATGTATGTATGTATGTATGTATGTATGTATGTATGTATGTATGTATGTATGTATGTATGTATGTATGTATGTATGTATGTATGTATGTATGTATGTATGTATGTATATAAAGGTAAAATTTTGTCTAAGGAGGGGCACGTTATCTTTTTTGTGTATAAAATTAATATTTCTGCCAAATCAAGCTCTCCTGTAGAAACGAATATATGATGATTTTCATGGAATTAGCATAGTTTTCGTGAAAGTTACATCAGAATGTGCAAAAAATGTTTTTTTTGGAGTACTTTTAAATTTTGATTCATAACTTTTCCCGATGTGAACTTTTATTCTCATTTTCAAACAATTTAGGAAAATTAAGAATATTTTGGGTAAATTAGATTAAATTCTCTTGCTTCGTTTTATCGTGAGCGTGTTTTACACTGACAGACGGACATAGCTAAATCGACTCAGAATTTGATAAGGAAACAGAATATACACATATAATTTGTTGGTTCTCAGATGAATATTTCTTGGTGTTACTCACGGAATGATAAAGAGCGGCAAAATAACAGCATAATAGAAATTTTAGCGGAACATAATGTCCTGCTTTCAAAAATAATTTCACAAAGTAACGTTCTAGACGACATTATGGAAATACTTCCTATCAAATCAGAGGAGAAATTAAGAGATTTAAATTTATTGATCCAGTCGCAGGCAGATTTGCATGTAAATATACCTCTTAAATTAAAAAATAAAGGCTTTAATCTTTGCCTTTTTGTTGTTACGACGAATGAAATCGTTTAAAAATAAGTTTCTTGTCTGACCAACCTGAATGAAATCTGGTACAAATTATCTCATATTAAATTATTCTTTTTTATTCATATACATAAGTATTTTGATAAATAAAATAAATAAAATTATTACAATTTTTCGAGTAGTTATAGTTTCTGGAGAAAATTGAAGCAAACCCACCAATTATGAGGAATTTTTCCATACAAAAGAACTAGTAATATACTGGATCTAAAGCACCAGTACTAAAGCAAAAGTACTAGTATACTTCTAGAACTAATGGTACTAGTAATTTTCTAAACACACTCAATGTTAATTTGAGCATTATGATGGTATAGGAAAGTTTACAGTTGGGAAGTAGTACTGGTGATGATGTGATTACTTTCCTGGGAATGAACATTTTTAGAAATCAATTTCCGAGATTGGAAATAGTCCGGGAAATTAGAAACTCTACATACAATGGTTATATAACATGTAATGGTCATTTGTAACTTAAATCATTTCGTATTTTTTGTTATTAGAAAACAAACATTTCTGTTTATATATAGAAATGAAATATATAGAAATGATATATATATATATATATATATATATATATATATATATATATATATATATATATACAAACATATATATATATATATCAATCAAGATACTTTTGTATTGAAAATTTAAAATAAATTTTTTATTTTACATTTAAATCAAAAACAAATTCATCGTTTGTGATATTTATCAGTAAAGTTTGAAATTATTTTCAACAACAAACATGTTGTGGATTATGTACTCCTATAGGGAGTAGTTTGGAATTATTCTGATGTAATGTATATGTAAATGGATTACGTGGCCCTCACATAGGACATCATAATATTAAATTGAGTATGTTTTTTCCATATATTTGTATTAGTTTTGGGCCAGTCCTTGTCTTTTGAGGAGTACTCTGTTTACGAGTGTGCGGAGTAATCTCGATTTTTGCAAAATTTTTATTCAAATTACATACACAACATATAAAATCAGTGACCATTTTCTAAGTAAAAACAAATACATATTCATGTTCATATAAAACTATTGAAAATTTTTCATTTAAAACAAATGATTGAAAAAGAAAATGATTGAAAATAAAAATTGTTTTTGATATTTATTTTAATAGAATTTTTTCGTTTTTCATCATGAGGGATATTTATATTTGAAAATAAAAATTATTTTAATCTTTTTTTCAACAAATGAAAAATTATTTTCAACAAAAAAGATATTTATATGATAAAAATATTTAAAATAAAAAGTTTTCGGGTCCTTGCTTTAAATGGTCGTAAATAACATAATATGTTTTTATTCTTATCATTATTTAGTTGTAAAAGTAATTATGTTCCAGTGAATCATACTCAAATTTAAAATTGCTTTGAACATGAAAATTTTTGTTGTAACTAAACTATTGTTAAAATATAATTTAAATGACAATTACATACATGTTTTTGAAAAAAATATATTGTTCCAGTAAACATGTCGTAGTTATAGTAACTATATCGAACCAAGCTTTTTCTCTGCGTGTTAGTGTAAAATAAAAGTGATCACAGATTATACTTGTTTTTATTTATCTATCTCCTTTAGTTTGCATTTTTAATTTTTCGTTAAAAATCTATTTTTGTGGGAAATAATTTTTTTTGCAGATATATCTTTAACAACTTTTAGTTTTGAAATCGAAAATAATATAGTGTTTTCAATAAAAAAGTGAAAATAATTAAAAATGTGAATACCCAAACAAAACCCCAGATCCCCATACCAAATTTTCTATCCTCAATTGCTATAAGAAATCCCCTATTTGGGGATTGAGCAGCACTGCCAATTATTTAAATTTACCCTCCCCACTAAACTGGTGTAGGGTATAAAAATGAATGAGTGTTTGTATGTATGTGTTTCTATATTTTAAGTTTATAAACTACTAAACGGTGAACCGATTTTCTTGAACTTTTCACAGTGTCTTCCTATATGTCTTGAAGAGGTTATAGGCTACACTTTATTTTGAAATTTCAAGTGAGAAATATATTAGTATTATTGAGAATATATTAGTATAAAATTTAATATTCATCCGAACATTCTGGAGAAAAAAAGGCGGACTTTCATCTGCAGACCCCATTTGAATAGAAAAATTTTTATATCTGAGAAACTCTTACAGCTAGAATCTTCAAATTTTACATAAAGAACTATGAAATTCATGTGAGCATTTAGATAATAACGGACGGACTTTCAATGGGGGGCTTGGATTATTCAAATGGGAAACTATTGGATTATTCAAATTTGTCATAAAATACATTTAAATCTTAATAAACGTTCGCAAAAATTGGAGAACTTGCAATAATTTGTGTGGCATCTCCCATACATATGTAAAAAATTTTATATCTGGAAAACTATTATAGTTAGAATCTTCAAAATCTTTAAGTGGGTTATTTTATTTATATTGCTTTTATTGTAGCAAAGCACACTGGGTATAGCTAGTATCTGATTTAAAATAAAAAGACGAAAATTGCTTTATATCATTTTTATTGTAATTTTTAATTCAATACATAAGTGCACGTACATACATAGAAAATGTTTATATTAGTCTAACACAATGACATCATCACACAACTTATCTTTTGCGCTCACAACAGTCGATGTTAAGTTAGTTTCATTTAACTGACATGCTTTTTGCCTTTCGGCTAATTTTTCCTGCAAAGTTTTTGTTGGGCTAATAACATTATTAGAATTACCAATTTGTTGTTGATGAAATTGCATTGTCGGTATATAAGTCGAAGAGGGGATGTATGGCATTACATGTCCAGCTTCCATAGGAATGTTAGACATGGAGCTAGTAGACGTTTCCGGTGAATTCACTTTAGATTTTTTTGGAGTTGCCTCGATGTTTCTGTTGCTAATAACGGTTTGAGTCAATGTAGTATTCTGGAGTAAATTAGAATATGCAGCTAAAACATTTGCATGATTATTAAATACATCAATTTTGTAGTTTGAAGTATTTTGTGCACTCTCACATGGAACTGGACGATTGTAAGGTTTGAAAATTGTTTTATTTTTTTGTGAGCCTTTAGGTTTCTGATGTTGCTTAGAAATATTTGAGCTTAATTGATGTTGCAATAAAACGTCATTGGATACTGTACGATTGTTTTCGCTAACGTTAGTTGTTGGTAAAAACATCAAATTTTCTGTTAATGCCGCATTCGGTGTAGTCGTCTGATTTTGTGGTAATATTAAGCTATTATTTGAAGTATTTGGAAGAATAGTAGGGTTTTCCAAATTATTTACAGACTTCTGTGAAATTAATTGCTCCGGTGAACATACGTTTATCTCATTATGAAGTATTTTAGAATAAAAATCATCAAATAATTTTTGAAATTCTGGCGTATCCTAAAAAATAAAATTTTTATTTATTATTAAATTATACATTCTTAAACAATAATTATTTCTAATATCCTAATAATCGTCACCTGAAATGCAAAAGGGCGTAACACTTTTTAAAATTTTACAGGAGGGACAAAAAACTAAATAAAAATGAAACTATTGTTGTTATAAAAATGTATCTTTCTTCCATGAATTATATCCTAACATAAATAAACATGTTTGAATATAAATGTGACTCCAGGCATTGTCTATTGTGTAGGGTGATCGACTCGATTTTTCAACCGGTTTTTTCTCCTTTACCAGTGTCGGTTTTTTTCTTAATGTTGATTTTTCGAATATCGAATAACCCGGTTTTTTCACTTTTTAAAAACCGGTTTCGAATAGTTTTATTTGCTTTGTATTCAAAGATTATTTAAATGAAATTTTTAAGTAAATAATAATACAGCCCGTCTAAATTTTAAAAATATTTGAGTCGAGGAACTAGCGTATATTTTTCTAGAGCTCCTTTGGTTAAACTTTTTTGATTTTCCTAATTAATTAAAAAAATTTATTTCTAAAATTGATAACTGTTTGAGAAAATGTTATCAATCTTAAAATTATATTCCAATTACAATAATTAATTTACGGCTGAAATTTTATGTAAGTGTTGGAATGCCTATGCCAACACCTATGCAAATTTCCTAAACAGGGCTTTTAAAATAAGCTAGGATTACATAGTACCTTATGTTTAACAGAAGTGTCCCTCTTTTTCCTAATTTTTTTATATTAAAGAAATAATGTAAATCAGACGACTAGATCTAAAGTTATAATCTTTTAAACTGTTAAAAATCATTTCGGGCCATGTTTTATTAATCAAATTTAAACATAAACATTCAGTTTTTCAAATTAAAATATATTTTTTTTATTTATAACGAAAAACCGGTTAACCGGTTTTTTTCTGAATTTGAAAAATATCAACCGGTTTTATTAAATGTCAACTATTCGAACTATTCGAAACCGGTTTTTGGAAAATGTCGAATAATCGATCACCCTACTATTGTGTTACTTTTTAGTACATTCTGACTTGTGGAAATAAATAATTTGTTGTTACGCCCTTTTGGATGTCATGTTAATAAAATTGATGTTTATGACAATAAAGTTCTAAAAATTTGCAACAACATGTATTTCGATGTAGTGGACCATTTTCAATCAGTCGATTTTCAAATTTTTGGTTGTTACGCCTTTTTGCATTTCAGGTGACGATATGTATATATATGGCGTTGGAAATCAAAAATATATTTTTTTTATTTTCTCTACGTTTTTTGAAATTTCTCACATTTTTAAAATATTTTATATTTTTTGTAAATAAAAAACATATGAAACAATATGAACAAACATTTATATTAAAAAAAGGTTACATTACATTGATAATTAAATTTTATTTTAGATAATTATCTATTCAAAAACATATTCTTGTTCTACTCGGATCCACCTTTCAGAAAAATAGTATCACTTCCCAGGTATTTATATTTGTCGCATAGTGTAATATGAGCAAATTTTATGTTTAAAAAATTACGTTAAATAAATAAGATACAAAATCGTATTTTCGTACCATATTACCTAAGGCGACCAGTTTTTGGAAATGAAAATAGATGACATTTTTTTGTATTCAACATTTTTTACATATTTTACCAGAGACTGTAACTGTTATGACTTTTATTATAAAAGTCACAAATTTTTGGGCAGAAATAAAAGTTATTTTTTGACTTTTATTTCTTGAGCAGAAATAAAAGTTATTTTTTAACATTTATTTTTTTGAGCAGAAATAAAATAATTTTTTGATTTTTATTATTTTATGCAAAAATAAAAGTTATTTTTATTTTTTCGAGCAGAAATAATTTTTTGACTTTTATTTTTTTGAGCAGAAATAAAAGTTATTTTTGGTATACTTGATGTTGTTTTCCGATATTTTCTTGTGGTTGCTTTTTTTATTTAAATATTCAAAAATAATTATTATTTTCGGTCCCCGTATTTTACAGAAAAATCTGTGTATGTAAAATAAATTAATATAATAATATATGGGAAATTTCGTGTCAAGTGACCTAACTTTACAAATCGATGTCTTCCGATTTGGATGAAATTTGCTCCAAGGTTGGTAGTAGGCCAGACACAAATTTTCAGCTCTATCTTGCCGGTTTAACGAAAACTTTAAACCCAATAACAACCCAATTTTTATGCATTTTTTTGTTAAAATATAAACAGACCAAATTTTAAGAAAAGTTAGATGAATGATTTGTTTTCTTATTAAAATGAGAAAATTACGTACTTAATTCCCATGTGTAAAATTCTAAATATTTTAGTAATTTTATTGACAACCAATTCCAGTTTTCTATGTAGTATTTTGAAAATAGTCAGAATATTCCTTTAATTAATGATTTTTTTGATAAAATGTTAAAAAAATTTTAAGAATTAGAAACAATTTTTTTCGATTTTTTTTCTTCTGAAGAAAACCACATTTAATGATTGAATGAGATAATAATTACACATGATAAATACGAAAACGTTATTTATTTTGATTGACGCGTGTAAATCTTTAAAAATACAGGTTAAGTTATTTTTAACGAGGTAATACAATTGTTAAGCCAATTATAATTGCTAAACATATTTTCTTAAAGGGCCTTATTTTGGCCCTAGGGACAATTATGGACCGACCATAACAAAATTTGGTTATATGATTTATAACGTACTTAATACCCATGTGTAAAATTTTAAATATTTTAGTAATTTTATTTACAACCAATTCCAGTTTTCTATGTATTTTGAAAATAGTCACAATATTCCTTTAATTAATGATTTTTTTGTTAAAATCATAAAAAAACGGTACCCAAAGCACCATTAGCAAGTACTGGTAATTTTGAGGAGTCAAATCCTAAAAGCGAGGAGGAAATCACTCACTGGCCAGAAGACAGAACAGCAGTGCTGTCCAAAATTGGGAAAGTGTTGATTAAAAAGACTGCTCTTCCTATGCCTGATAAGGACACCGCAGTGCCATCAATGGTACCCACTGCATCAATAGCCACTTCAGGTTACCCGGAGGAGTCAAATCCAACGAGCGGGGATGTGATCACTAGCTCGCTGGAAGACAGTTTAAATGGATGACAATGATTGAAGTTATCCAAATAAACTTCCATCGGAGCGAGACAGCTACCAACGCTCTGATGGCTAAAATTAACACAGGTAAGATACATATAGCTTTAATCCAGGAACCTTGGACGATTCGCAACAAGGTTTCTGGATTAAATCACGTAAATTTCCAAGAGGCACAAAGGCAAAATAAGAAAATTGTAATAGGTTGTGATGTCAACTCCCACCATGTAGCTTGGGGTAGTACAAACACCAATCGCAGGAGAAAAGCCTTATGGATTTCCTTAATACTAAAGACTTGATCACATCGAATTTAGGTAATAAAGCTACCTTCGTCAATAGAATCAGAGAAGAAGTATTAGATATAACTATATGTTCAGAAGAGCTTATAAACGAAATTCAGGATTGGAGAGTTTCGGACGAGCACTCCTTTTCTGACCATCGGTACATAAGATTCAAAATACTACGGCCGCCACCAAAGCCGATAAATTTTCGGAATAAGTCTAAAACTAATTGGACAATGTTCGGTTCCTTACTAAAGAACCGTTTATGTCAGAACACTTTTCAATGTCGAAATAAAGAGGACATAGACGCCGCACAGTGGTATAGGAAAAAAAAAGAGGGAAATAATTCGGTAACTTCTAAACGGTTAATCCGATTTTAATGAAATTTGGTGTGCACAAAGAGGAGGTGTTGTCGAGTTTAGGTTTTGAATTTGGACCTTATAGGCCAACCAGGGGCCCGGCGGGGGGTCATCAAATTAGGACACCTCGGCTATGTTAAATTTTTAAAACGATCCTATTTCTTCATTTGAGTTCCGATTTAAAAAAAATTTCGTATATAGAATCTCCTCATCGAGCACTATAAAATATATATATATATAATATATACATAGCAGTAAATTATCTCTTATAGTTTAGGAGATATTCGCATTTGAAAATTAAAATTTTAAAATTTTTACCGTCCTTACTTTAGTTTTTTTTGATAATAGCAGGTCCAAATATTCCCGATTTTCGCCATTTTGTTTTATTCGCTTAACAACAAGTTTATATATCAAGCAGTGAAAGAATTATGTAAAAATCATGACTGAGTCCAAAGTTATAGGCATTTAAATTTAAAAAATTAAAAAAAGGCGATTTTTTGTCATTTTTTTGGGAAAAAAGTATCTTTTTCTTTTTAAGTTATCTAAAAAGTTTCTAAGAAGATGTATATAGAATTTATACTTTTTGGAAAGCTGACTTTACATAAAGTACGATAAATGAAACAAAACCTAAAAATTTTTGATACCGAGGGGACCAGGTCCATCCAAAAAAACCCTATTTTTTATGGAAAATTAAATTTTGAGCAAAAATTCTCAAATCGCATAGTCGATATCAAATTATAGTGACCTGTTTTATATGACCCAATATGTTCTTAATCATTTTGTAACGGGTTTCGATAACCCCGCCCCTGGTATGGATATAATAGGCAAAAAACTAAAAAATCCCATTTTTGGGATTTTTTAAAACTTTTTTGGGAATTCCGGGATTTCTAATAAGAAAATTCGAAATTTTGATTTAATTTTGGATTTTAAGTAAAAAAATCTACCTAACTGTAAAATTTCATCAAAAAATATTCATAAATAAAATTTTTATTGCAATTTGAAAAATTTGTATCTTCGCAAAAACTGAATAAAAAACATTTTTTAATTTTTTTTAAAAAAAGTATTCCGCGAATTTTTTAATTTTCAAAAATTATATAGAGTTTTGAAAAATAGACAAAATTACCTTTCCATTGATATATAACATGCCTACCTAATGTTTTTTAAGTGACAAATTAATTAGGGAAAACTCAACATCTTTTAGAAAATTTGCCTAGCACTATTATTTTCATCCATAAGGTTA